GTCTTTGGGTTTGAAGTGAGTCTCTTGTAGGCAGCATATAGACAGGTCTTGTTTTTTATCCATTCAGTGATTCTATGTTTTTTGATTGGTGCATTCAGACCATTTACATTTAGGGTGATTATCAATAAGTATATACTTATTGCCACTGCAGGCTTGAGGTTCATGGTTACTAATCACTGAATGGATAAAAAAGAGGGACTGTCACCTTCCCCAGATGGGTGAAGTTTTCAGCAATTACCTCCTCAAAGACACTTTCTTTCCCTTTTACTATGTCTTTTTATGGTATCACTATGATAAGAATATTGTACTGTTTGGCTTGGTCACACAGTTCTCTCAAAATTCTTTAATTCTTAGAGAACTTTTTTTTTCTCTGTGCCTCACATTCTTTGTATTCCTCTTCTCTAATTTCCATTTCATTTATTGTCTCCTCCACCATATCTAATCTTCTTTAAAAACCCTCCACTGAATTACCCTTGAACCTTTAGTAACCACAGAAATTACAGCCTCTTCAACACACAGGTGTTGGCAAAACTGGACAGCTATATGCAAGAGAATGAAACTGGATTACTTTTTAGCCCCCATAAAGAAAAGTAAACTCGAAATGGATCAAAGACCTGTATGTAAGTAATGAAACCATAAAACAAAACTCTTAGAAGACAACATAGGCAAAAATCTCCTGAATATAAACATGAGCAACTTCTTCCTGAACGCATCTCCTCAAGCAAGGGAAACAAAAGCATAAATGAATACATGGGACTACATCAAACTAAAAAGCTTCTGTATGGCAAAGGACACCATCAACAGAACAAAAATGCATCCTACAGTATGGAGAATATATCTGTCAATAACATATCTGACAGGGAGTTACCATCCAAAATATATAAAGAGGTCAAACATCTCAACATCCAAAAAGCAAATAACCCAGTTAAAAAATGGGCAGAAGATGTGAAGAGAGAATTCTCCAAAGAAGAAATTCAGATGGCCAACAGACACATGAAAAGATGCTCCTCATCACTAATCATTAAGGAAATTCAAATTAAAACCACAATGAGATATCACCTCACACCAGTAAGGATGAACAGCATCGAAAAGACTAAGAACAACAAATACTGGTGAGGATGTGGAGAAAGGGGAACCCTTGCAGACTGCTGGTGGGAATGTAAGCTAGTTCAACCATTGTGGAAAGCAAAATGGAGGTTCCTCAAAAAACTAAAAACAGAAATATAATTTGACCTCCTAGGAAGTTACCCTAAGAATTCAGGAGCCCAGATTCAAAAAGACATGTACACCCCTATGTTTATTGTAGCAGTATTTACAATATCCAAGATATGGAAGCAACCTAAGTGTCCATCAATAGATGAATGAATAAAGAAGATGTGGTACATATACACAGTGGAATACTATTCAGTCATAAGAAAGGAACAAATCCTACCATTTGTAACCACATAGATGGAGTTAGAGGGTATTATGCTCAGTGAAATAAGCCAGGCAGAGAAAGACATGAACCAAATGATTTCACTCATGTGTGGAGCATAAGAACAAAGCAAAAACTGAAGGAATAAAATAGCAGCACATCCATGGAACCCAAAAATGGACTAACAGTTGCCAAAGGGAAAAGTACTGTGGGTGGTTGGGTGGGAAGGGAGGGAGGAGGAAGGGGAATAAGGGGCATTATGAGTAGCACACATAATATAGCAGAGGTGCACAGTGAAGGCAGTATAGCACAGAGAAGACAAGTAGTAATCTTGTCTGTAGCATCTTACTGTGCAGATGGACAGTGACTGTAATGGAGTATGTGGTGGGGGCTTGATAATGGGGTGAATCCAGTGATTGCAATGTTGCTCATGTAATTGTGTATTAATAATAGCAAAATAAAAAGTAAAATAAAGTAAAACAAAAAAATCCCTCCATTTTATTCCTTAATGATTGGATCTCTTACCAGAATTTGTTCCTGAGTTCTTGAATATTTTTCTGCACCTCCATGAGCATGTTTATGATTTTTATTTTGAAATCTCTTTCAGGAAGATTAATGAGATGTGTTTCATTTTACTCTTTTTCTGGTGTTTGTATGATTTTAGTTTGAACCAGTTTCCTTTTGCCATTTCATATTTGTATGTGGTGCCCCCTAATGCCCAGAAGATTTACTCTCTGGATCTGCTCAACCTGTGGAGCATTGTTGAGGGTCACAGGGGAATGGTGTTGGTGCCTGGGGATAAGAAAGAGCTGTTTCCTGCTTCCCGGCTGCCATGCCTGTCTCCACTGCCAAAATCAGTGCGCCAAACACACAGGTGTAAGCCTCTATGCTTTGCAATTGCAGTTGCTGTAGGTGGGGCTTCCCTCTGGCTGGCCTGATGCCAGGGTGGAGGCTGCCTGTTTGTGAGCCAGATGTGGGCTGGCCAGAAGGAACGCACAGCAGTCTGCATATCACTGTGGGGGGCCTTGGAGCTGCGTATTCAGCCAGGGGGATGGAGTGCCTGAAACTCCTGAAAGGTCACACCCTGTGGGGCAGAGTGTGCCCAGACAGTTTGTCTACCTGTCCTTTCTCCTGATCAGTAAGCTCTGTGCAATCCTTGCCCCTTTAGCAGCCCTCTCAGTGTTAGGAAGTCTCTCAGACTGCCCGCCTTTCCTTTGTCCCAGAGCAGCCAGATATGGATCCCTGTTTTCCTCAATCGGCTGGAATCTCAGTCTCTCCAGGTATTCCACCTGTTGTCTTAGCTTTCCAACACCACTAATCACCGGAGCACCATGCAATGTAGATTTGTGCTCCCAGAGCAGATCTCCATGGCTAGGTGTTCAGTAGTCCCAGGCCTCCACTCCCTCCCCCCTCCATTTCTCTTCCTCTCGCCGGTGAGCTGGGGTGGAGGAAGGGCTTGGGTCCCACCAGATCATGGCTTTGGTACATTACCCTGTTTCATGAGGTCTGTTCTTTCCTCCAGGTGTATGCAGTCTGGTGCAGCCTTCTTTCCTGTTCCTCTTTCAGGATTAGTTGTATTAATTATTTTTTTGTATTATATGTGGTTTTAGGAGGAGGCCTCTGTCTCACCTCTCACACTGCCATCTTTAATTCTTTCATTATTATTAATGATTTTTATAAAAAAATATGTTGAATTTTATCAAATGCCCTTTTGGTGTGTATGGACATGATCATATGATCTATCCCACAATTAAAGTTTGGCATTTACTTATATTTTTGCAGTTTTTATTTCATCCTCCATGAGATTTTATAATTTGCTCTAATAAGGTCCTGAGATTTCCTTTTTAAATTAATTCTTGAGTATTTTAATCTTTGTTCCTTATTGTGAATAGATTCCCCCACCTAAGTTCTGTTTAGTTTCAACATAGAGAAAAGTAGGTGGATATTGTGTGTTTACCTTGTAATAAGAAACGTCACCAATATCCTTTTAATGTCTGATATTTACTTCAGTAGCTAGGCTTTTATTTTTAAGGTATATTATAAATACCACTGACAGATAATTTTGCCTTTCTTCCCTAGTGTTTACACCAATTTCTTTATTTCTAGATTGGGGGTCAGCAAACTGTGGCCCATGGATCAAATCCAGTCCTTTAACCTGTTTTTATAAGTAATTTTTTATTGGATCACAGTCATATCCATTTATTTTCATACCATCTAAAGTTGCTTTGGTATACAATGGTGGAGTATTTGTGACATAGACTGTATGGCTCACAACACCTAAAATATTTACTCTCTGGTTCTTTATTGATAGTTTACTGATTCCATTCTAGATTGGAAATTATCAAATGAAAAATCAAGGTGATAGTGAAAATAATGAACTTGTTCTTGATTTTCTTAATGGCTTTAGGATTTTACTTGTTAGAGTGATTGAGGTTTGCTGCTGATTTTGCTAAACAGTTATATTAAGATATTTTTCTCTTTTCCTATTTTATTATTATGAAAATTTCAAATATACAAAAAGCTACAAAGAAAAATATAATAAGTAGATGTACCCAAAATTAATAATGTTGAATTTTGCCTAGTTTGATTCAATGTCTATTTTTAAATGAGTATAATTTTATAATACAGTTCAAGTGCCTTTTATACCCCATTCCAAGCTCAGTGCCCTTTTTCCTTCCTAAGAGATGGTTACTGTTGTGGTTTGTGAATCTACCCATAATGTTTTTTTGCATTTTTGCCACTTTATTTTGAAAAGTTCAATTTCTCCTAAAATTTGTTTTTAAAAGTTTCAAATATACAGTAAGTTGAATCATATAATGAATACTTATACACCATCTATCTAGATTCAAAAAATTGTGGTTTACCATATTTTCCTTTTTTCTTCCCTATATACATATATGTGCTTGTTACATTGTAGTTTATTTATTGAGATACATACACAATAAAATACACAAACCTTAAGGTACAACTTGACAGATGTTTCCTGTACTTAAGCTCAACCTTTTTTTTCTCACTCCAGTTATAAATTATTAGTTATCATGTTAAACTCATAATGGTTAGAAACTTAAAGCCATTATAGTGAATTCCTTGCTTTAGTTTATTATGTTGAAAGCTGGATTTTTATTGCCTTCATTTGAAATTTAATTAGCCTAGTATAATGCCACAGGTTTTTTCTTAGGTCTTCAAGTGAGTCATGTCTATGGGAAGTGATTGATGACTTCGGATGGGATGGGAGGTTGTATGATCCTTCCTATAGTAGCTGTTTTAGCAAATGGTGGGGATTTGTAGTGGACAATTCGTAGGTGTGTGATTTCGTGCGTCCAGGCCCTTTCAGCTATAACCTTACTCCTAGAAATACTCACTGATGCTTAAAGAACACAATTAATAAAAACGAAGCAGAAAAGTCTTAGGAAGTAGGACTTGGGCATACAATGGTGATAGCTGCTTCAGTGATTGTGGCTTGGACTGGAAATTAGTCCAGAAAGGTGATCACAGTTTTCAACAGGGATAGAGTCCAAAGACAGTGAAGAGTAAGACACATTCACATTAATATTTAAAAAATCAACATGTCTCTTTATTCCTAAAGCCACTGCTAAAAGTCTACCAAGATCATAAGAGGCCAGAGTACATACATGAGCAGAACCGATTTCAGTTAATCTCTTCCGGAATCATAAAACCTCCAGGAAGTACTGAAGTAAGAAGTTCTACCAAATCACTTGTTCAGTTTCTTGGGCATCAAGACACTGCAAGCAAAGAAAAACAGGTATATATAAGTAATTAAGTGATCACTTTAATTTAATTTTAGTTTCATATTAAATTGATATCATGCTTTTAAGACATGAGAGTAATGGCAAAATCTTTTACTATCCGGTTGATTTGGGGAATACAGTATTTCTCAGTTCTTCCTATTTAAGGAAAATTTGGACAGTAGGAGAAAGTCATAAAGGAAAACTTCCACGTTTGTGGTGTCTTCTGATCTTCTTTTGCATGTTAAAAGAAGACATAATAGTGTTTTTAACATTATTACCACTTTTTTGAAATTTTCATCACTGTTCCCCAAAATGACAATCTGAAGACTTTGGTGAAGGGTAACAAAAAAAGAACCTGAATGAGCTAAAAAAGACAGCTTTTGTAATTAGCAAGGGCTGTAGAGTGAGGAAGTTCCCTTGAGACAAACAAGTGAATAGTAGCTTGGCAGAGAAATCACAAGAGCATGGCTTTATGTGAATAACCATAATTAAACAGAGATGGAAGTGGGAGAAAATGTGAAGGACACACCCACATTAAAAATACCAGTAGAACTAAGAATTTTTAGAGCTCTTTATTGAGGTGATCCTTTGAGGCTATTTAAACATTTCAGTGCCAGTTGGCTGTCAGGCTTCGGGCAAAGGTGCTAGAAATGAAGAGTTGAGGACAGGCACTGTCTAGGGGGATGTAAGAATCTAGAGGTGGCCAGATGGACAAGTGACACGAGTATAGCAGGTGTGATAAGAGCTCTCACTGGTCATCTGAGGTATAAAATAGTGAAAAACTCTTTATGACTAGAAGGGATGCCTACACCTGATGGTGGGGGGTGGGGGATCAGTGGAGAAAAAGCTACCCTAGGGAATTGCACTAAGCTGGGAGGAAGAAACCGAAGATAATAAGGCAGATAAGGTGGGAGAGTTAAGGGCTTGAGAAGCCAGCTGGAAGGAGGCTCACTATGGGTTTGAGCCTCTCAAATTGCATGAAATTGTACAGCCTCAGTTAATTTGGTTTCTGTGAAGTGAACAGACACCAGCTATCTTAAATAGGGCCGGGAACGGTCTGATTGCCCATAAATTAATTCATTTGGCATAAAGTGGGCTCCAAGAGCTTACTTAAAAGAAAAGGAGAGAAATTGTATGCACACCTGAGATGAAGGAACGGAGCCAAAAGGAATGTTAAGCTGCGGGTTATGCTTGGCTGCAGCTGTTAAATGAAAAATTCAGTAAAGAGTTAGAGGTTGAAGGAGAATGTAGGAGAAAGGGAATATTCCATATAAAAGAAGAGTATTTATTTTGAGAAAAGGGTCATTTTGAGGGGTATTGATTCCTCAGAATGAGTTCAGAATGGAAATGCCACAATGAGAATTTCCTAAGAAATAAAGGAAGGAAGGAAAGAAAATTGGAGGCTTTACTTCTAGTAATTAAGAAAGACTGACTTACTGGAATGGACTGAGCATCTGTCATAGAGGAGTACAGTTCCACACTTTATAAATGCTTTCTTTGTTCCTTTTCCCCACACCCATGAAATCTGACCTTATGAGACTGCTTACATTGAATCTCATCTTCCCACTCAATTACATAACTAGAAATAAGTACTCAGATGAAAATTTGGAGGCTTATGGTTGAAGAAATCTTTCACTTAAAATGTAGTGAAACTTTATAAAGATGATGGTAAAGAAAATGAATGCATTTTCTATTAAAACAGTAATACTCTCATCTCATAAAAATATTAAAGTTGGCTACACTGCTTGTTGAAACCTTGGGACAAGGCACTGTTTCTCTGGTTTGGGGTGTCTGGTCTGGCCTATTCTGTTACACAAGAAAACTGCCATTGCTTCTATGCATGGCTGCTAAGTGAAAGAAGCACACTTTGTCTTTTGAATTCAAAGATGTATTTCCTCCAGCTCCAAACTTCCCAGGATCCTCCTTTCAAACTCCTGTTCAACAGGGTATGTAATCAGAGATGGAAAATAATAATCCCTGTGAATACAAACTTTCTTAGGAAGTTGTTCCACAGAGCTTGTGGTGAGAAATCTCTTGTAGAAATGGCAGCCTTTGTTAGCTCTGTTAACAGGCAATGACAATATCCACTATTGTATTTACATCCACTATTCCACCAAGCAGGTTGCAGTGGCTATTCTTTTACCTTAAAGCCAACTACCCTTGTCCTGTAAGAAAGCCAAGGTGATGACCATTGCAGTTAGCATGAAACTCCTCCAACACAGTTACCAAGCTCTGCAAGAAAAGGGGATGTTGGGGGTGGGGTTGCCCCAGAGTTTGTCAGAGAGGAACAAAGGAATGTGAGTGGCACTGAGAGCACAGACAGTGAAACCCGGGGGATTACAGCAAAGCTCAAGTGTGTGAGCATGGTGGGGGCTTAACCCTGATGCTCCAGGTATGGTCTGTGGGCCAGCAGCATCCGCATCTCCTAAGAGCAGATAGAATTGTAGTATGTCAGGCTCCACCCTAAACTGTCAGAATCTGCATTTTAATAGGATGTCCAGGTGATACACATGCACACTTAAAGATGAAAAGCACTGGTCTACTGAACAGGCAACTATGAGTTAATAACATGTGTGCTTCCCAGTGTGCAGTGTAACCATCCCTTACCATTTACTAAAAAGTAAATGTGAGTTATGGTAACAGCTATTCAAGATTTCACTCACTGAATTAAGAGCATCCGACCAAGGTGAGGAGGTTGAGGGAGAGGCCACAGTCAGGTAGATGCAGAGCAGCTGAGCAAGAAGAGTGGTGGATCCCCATGAACACCAGACAGCTGGTAGTATCTTGATATATAAACACTGAGTGAAAGGAGAGGAGCAGGGATGGGAGCTGCCATCAGGGGTGTTTAGTGGGAAGGGGATGGACATCTGGATAGGGAGTACTTAGAAGGACTTTATCACTGCCTAATAGTAGTTGGGAATTTTTCACTTAAAAAATGCTTGTCTTTGCCCTTTAGGCATCTCAGGCAGTATAGGAATTAAGTCTTAAATAAGTAAGCCATACTATTTTGTCACTTCTATGGCTTTTTTTTTTTTTTTTGCAAAAACTCATTTTTTTTAAATTTGGCTTTGTTTAGATCCACCGGCCCTCTGCTGATGTGATCTCTCCCTCTCCTCCTAAACTGCCACGAACCCATGTTGGAAGAAGAGGTCTGCACTGGGCTAGTTCCTCAGCCTACCCTAAGTATATTTTCCATGACCGAGAAGAAGTCATTAAAGCCAACATTCATAATCCCTTGCAAATCATTAAAATAATGCAGGAAAATGAACATCTTGGGTTTCTTTATATGATCTCTGCAGTGCCAAGGTCTTCCGTTGAATATGATACATATAATCTGAAGTGAGTCCTCTTTTATGAAGCAATGTATTTGACAGTAAAAATTACAAATAAGATTGTAAAAGTTTTCCATAACTGATTAGATGTTAAACATAAATATGATGAAATATAATTTTGGTTATCATCCAGTGATAAATGAACCATAGTCAACAATTTATTTATTTTTCCCATTTATCTTTCCTTTCCTTATATACATTATTTTATGGAGTAGTATACTATTGTGCTTCTTAAATGTTTTTTTTATGTAATGCATCTATTTTTAATCAATATTACAAACATATTTTTGCTGTTTTGTGATTACTGAGAAAAAATGGCAATGTATAAAAAGATGTATGATTTGTTTTACATGTCATTTCAGCTTTTCTTAATAGAGTAAAAATAAGGATTTAAAAAATAATAAAGCTTGGTTAACTTAGGGTATTTATATAGGTAAAAATACACATACACATACTCTCTATTGTTGCTAAATGCATACTTCTTCAAATAATTTGAAGAGTTGCACAAATGTAAGTCTGTGAGTTGCTTTAAAGTTCAGCATATTAGGTAGTAGAACTTAAGGGTGTTACCGGCTTTCCTCTATTGTTCAGTTGGATAGACAACAGTTGTTGAAACAGTCTGTCATTGAAGGCAACAAACAGTAGCTTAGCTTTGCCACCGAATTCTTTGAGCTGCCTTCCCCATTTTCTATTGCAAAGAAAGATAAAAGGGTCGCCTAGGAGTTCTCTTCTTCCTTACTCAGCACTGTAGTTTTGATTCAGTCAGATAACATTGAGGACAGCTGTCCTGCTTAGGAGAAGAGAGAAAGAAAATATTTTAATCAAATTTTTAAATGATAGATTGTTGTAAATTTGAAAGAGCTTAACAGGAGTGAGAAATAGTTTGTAGAAAGAACAGAGATGCTTATAAAAATCCAGCCAAAATGTATGGAGCACCCACTCCATAGCATGAACTGTTCTGGGTGCTAGAATATAATAGTAAACAATCCAAATTGAAATTACTGTCCTCATGGAGCTTACATTTTAGCACAGGGAGACAATAAACACAACACATGAGTAAATTAAATAGACTGCTAGAAGGTGATAGGTATTGTAGAAAAATCAGAGTAGAGGAAAGAAAATTGAGAGTTCTGGGGAAAGAGTTATAAGTTAACTAAAGGGTGGTCAACACAGGCCTCATGGAGAAGCTGGCATTTGAACATGTACTTGAAGGAGAAAAAAGAGTGAATTATGCACAATTTTTTCTCAACAAGAAAGTGGATACAAATATCCCAAGGCAGGAAAATACCTGGCATGTTCAAAAGGCAGGGAGCCTGGTGTGACTACAGGAGAGGGAATGATAACTGGGAACCAGACCACAGGGGCCTTGCTGGCCATTGTGAGGATGTTAGCTTTTACTCTGAGAAAAACGGAGAACCGTGGAAGGATTTCAAGCAGAGAAGTGTTACATTACATTTTGAATTACATTGTGAAAAGGATTGCTCTGGTTGCTGTATAAAGAAGACTTTTAAGGAGAAAAGGTTGAAATAGGAAGACCAATTAGAAGACTGTAATTATTCAGGTGAGAGATGGCCCAGGTGGTGGTGGTAGAAGTGGTGAGAGGTGGTCAAATTCTATAGGAAATAATTTGAAGTTCAAGCCAACAGGATGTTTTTATGGACCATGTACAAGGTATACCACCAGAGAAGAGTCTAGGATGACTTTAATGATCCATTGGTCTAAGCAAGAGGAAAGGTTGAGTAGCTATTAACTGAGACAGAAGATTGGATGGAAAAGATTCATGAGGGAAAAATGGGAGTTTGAGTTTGGACATACAAATTTAGGGATGCCAAAGATAAAAGAGAAGTGTGGTGGTAGATGAAAGAACTGGGGCCAAAAGTAAGGTTTTTTCCAAGAAGAAATAGCTTCTTTTTTTAGGTGGGAGAATTAATATATAATGGAATTTAAAGCCCTTTGATGTAAAAAACAAATTCCTTTAATAATATTGTCAATCCACCCCTAGCTTACTACTTCTTTTTCTAGTTCTTTGTAAGTTTTTGGAGAAGAGGTTATGGATCTTAAATGGCCACTGATGGAAAAAAAATGGCTTACTTGCTGATTTTTAAAAACACTTCTGATTAGTATGTGAAATGCTTTCATAAATTTCTCTTTTCAAAAACTCAATCATCCAATGACCCAGGTATCAAGGTGTGTCATTTGTGTGAGTCATTTCTCATTATAAGAGGAGTCAAATTAAAACTTGATTGCCATCTATTTATTAACACAAGATGAAGTATTGAAGATAAGTGTCAAAATTGCTCTGTCCAATTCACAAAATTAATTGTATTTCTAGACTAATGAGCACTTCTAAAGGAACTGAGTTGATGGGTATACGTTTTTGGACTGACAGTACTGATGCTTGATAGTAATAAGCAAGGACTCACTTAAGATGTCACTGGAATCATGGTTTGTTATTTTATCACATTTCAAGTTTGAAGTTAAATTTTCCTCCTTGGACTGAACTCCAAATACTATAAACCTCATGAGCAAAGACAATTATTTGAATGCTATATAGATGAAAGCAGCTAAACAAGAAGTTAGAAGTAGTACATACTGAACCTATAAGATAAGGACATGTTATAATAAATGCCTTTTAAAAGTAATGTGATAAAATATGTCTTCACATAATTTTTAAGCATAGTAAAATACATTAAATGTACAGTTCCACAATATTTATCTCTGCCATAGTCCCTATAAGGGAGAAAATAGTTCCATTTATCAAGTTTATTCTTAGTGGTATTTGTTAGGCATAACAATTTTGTCAAGAATAGGCTCAAGGAGACATCTAAATATGTTGGAGTATCAGCCTGGTAGATACACAACTATATACTACAGATTATCTTGCCCAGCAAGGGGGCATAATGGTGATTCTGGCAGGTCTGGAGCAGGTGAGAGGAAATTAGGTAAAGTATCAGGAACTGGAGAAATAACGAAGAGTGTAGACAACAGAGAACAGGGCTAGTCAAGACAAAATAATTCTGTTTTGTTAGGACTGAGTTTGAACAAGAGTAATCGTGACTGGGGATAGCCATATGGTAGGGAGAGGGCGGTTGACAGGAGAGTTGGATTATATGCCCATTTTGTGAGAGGACACCAAAGTGAATCATGACATTTTACATGTCATAAAAGATGAGTTATTGGTGTTTTCTATGTTCTACACAAAGTATTGATATTATTAAATCATTTAATTCTCATAATACTATCTGTAAGATAGGTACAATTATTATCTCTATTTTACAGATGAGACACAAAACGGTAAGTAACTTGCCTCAGGTTATACAATAAGTAAATGACAGTCTGCCTCCAGAAGCTATGCTCCTATGCTTTACTGCCTATCAAGATGAAACTTGGCAATATTTATAAGATTCCCAGAAGACAAGAGTTTGCTCAAAGAATGTCTTCACTACCCACTAAAAGTAGTAAACCCAGAGAAACATTTCCCGTAATTTCCAAGCCTCGCTCAACAATCTGCTTTCTGATGAGCCTATTGAATTTTTTCAGAACAAATGAAAAAAATGCAAAATAATACTTTCTTCCTGATAGAGAATTGATGCATAAAGGTGTCCTGAGATCTCAGGTATAGAAATCATTCATTTAAGGTTGCACTCATCATAGCAAAAAAACAGAAACAAAGATACTATATTTATCACTGAGGCATCTGTGGAAAGGTATACTCAGAGAGAAAAAAGGAAAAATTTATGTTATTGGCAAAATTCTCCTATCACTTGATACTATGGACATCATATAAAATGTGCTGAATGGTTATTTTGCTTTAATCAGTCCCAGATAAGCAGCACACAAATCAGTGTTTGCCAATATAGACATATATGAGGAAAAGGTGTTTGATGACTTTTTGTTCCAATTATAGCTGCAACTCATACTATAGAAGAATTTTTCCATTTAGTTGTGAGCTGGGACTTAGATTGGAAAAGGTGTGCAGGAATCAGTATATCTGAGCATTTGGCTGTATGGAGCAAGAGAGGCCCTGCTGCTCCAAGACCTTCACATGCAGCAGTATGCCTCCCATCCTTCACTCAGCACGGACAAAGGCAGTCATGGGAACCCCATCAAACTGGGCCACTGTCATTCAGTAAGATAGCACAGAGGATTTTGGTCCCATTATGAAACATGCAGATTGAGGTTAACCATATTCATAGAAGGTTTTTGAAATGAAGAGTAAGACTTAAAACATTTTGTGAAACTAATAATACTAGTGAAGACCATTTCTATGATTTTAGGATGCTTGCTTAAGGGGTATATCTAACAGATATATTTATTATTTGGAATAGACGTAACACTTCAGTGTCAAGATGTTTTTAAGGTCAGAATACAATACTGGAATTTTAGTGTTGCTAAACTCTAGTGTATATGGCAGATGACTTACACAGGACAGATTTGTCTCTTTCCAACATCTGATGATTTCCTTCACAGATTGGATGAAAATAATTTATCAGGTGTTAGGGGGCATATCTATCTAAAAGTCATACTTAAATGCAAAAATTTGAAGACATCCTTTTCAATCTAAATACAACCAAGTTATTGCTAAGTATTTGTTTACTGCCATCCCCTAAACTGGAACATTCAACCAATCAATTTTTGGCTGTGATGTGCTTGTGAACTTAACATCTGATTCAGTGCTACAAGCAGACTTGAGTGACATGATCAAGAAATTCTGGGTCCATAAATTGTCCAGAGACCCAGAATTATGTGACAGAAGTTCCAATTACATGCTGCAATTTCTAGAAGTAAAATGGTTATTCAGGGATTTTTAATTTTAAAAATATTAAAATTGGGAAAAGGAACTCTGGGTATGAACCCTCATCTGTGGCCCACACTACCCATCATTCAGCTGGCTAAAAAGAATATTATTATTAATTTTAAGATACTCTGACCTATTTATTATTTTGAAATTTGTGCTAAGACCTTGACAAAATTTACTTAGAAATTAACAGTGGTCTGCATGAGTGC